TCGATGACATTGGCTTCATTGAACGGAGTACGCCCGGCCGGTACTCTATCTCGTGTGGGTCCAGGAGCAAAGCCGAAGCGCAACTATCCGTCCACGTCTCGGTGCCAGTCATCAATACAGATGGGTGCAGCCGATGCGAATATGGCTAACCGTCGCTGCATCATGCCGGAGATCGCCCCGATATGGATTCCTTCGTTCGTTTTCGCAGAAGATGGTATCATTGAGGCGAGGTGAAAGTGTGCAGATGCGTGAGACACGCAGACGTCCTGGTCTATTATGCAATGCCGTCCCAGGAACATATCCTGCATGTGGTCCTGGATCGAATAAACGCCACAGCCAAGTGGCGGCAACGGCGGCGGGGAACCTTCACACGTACCAAGTGCCAACACAAAGTCGACGCGTTATCTCCTCCTCGTACACGCGGAATACAGCGCAAAGAATGTGTTCTCGACCGGCATACATAACCGACAGCTTTGTGTATGAAACGTATGAACCGAAGTTCGTCGATCGGTAGAGCGTTTGGTTCTCTGGCTTGCGTGCATGGCGCACGCCCCTAACCCCACCTTTTCCCAACGGTTCCACTTTTTGACCTGATCCGGCTGGAGATGTACAACCATTATCATCATAACCGCGCAGTGCGCGGCTGTCGTTATTGTGTTCGGATGTCGACGCAATGACTCAAAACTTGTGGCAAAGAGTTGCAGGGCCTTTAGCTTAAATGTAAGCTTAACTTAATCTTATTACTTCTAGATTTTAACTAGCACAGCTTCTTTACTATAATAGCGTTATGCTAATCTATTATAGATACTATTTTTATAATCTTCTTTTACTTCTTTACCTTATTATCCTCTTCTTCTTTAATATAGCACTTACGTTAGAAGGTTTAAAGCTTATTAGCTTTCTTATAAAAGCTATAAGTAGCTTAAGCGCATATAAATAGGCGCTTCTTAGTAATAAACTAGCAGTCTAGCTTTATAGCCTATAAGATTATATTATTACTAAAGTATATAATATAGTTAGAGTAGGTAGAGCCTTAGAAAGTTAGCTTAGAATAAGAAAAAAAAGCGTCTACTTATAATTAGATAAGAGGCGTTAACTATAATAGGTTATAGCTTCTAGAGCTAGAATGTAAGTAGATTTATAAAGCTAAGTATAGTTATTTAGCGTGTTTAAGATAGATAAATTTAAGCAAGAATACTAGTAATTAAGTCTTTTTAAGTATAGATTAATACTAAGTAGCTAGAGACAAAGTTTACTAAGATGTGTTCTTATCTAATAGGCTTCTATGCACGTAATCTTAATAGACTATAGAAAGAGCGAGCTTTAGGCGATATTCTTTGGGACCGAGGCGGCGATTTGCCGGTTCAGCTGGCTACTAAGACCCACTGCCTATCAGCTGCCGCGAAAGCTGCGAACTCTATCGTCCCTCGCGACACGCCTTCCCGGCTGTGCTACTCAGCAGAGCAGCATGTGCACTCCTTTTGTGCCGCGTCTGCGACAGCGTTGAGCGTGTAGTAGCTGGCTAGTTGACCTTACATGCCGGCCACCACTTATTCATCATCAGCTACTGCAGACTGCTGCGAGGCGCCAGGAACCGAGGACTAGACACACGCTCGGATGGGGAAAGCAGAGCCTCCTACTAGCTGAATCCAGTTGTACTGTATACTGGATCGAATCATAAATCCGGTTGACGCCATCTTATGCAGGCGGGGTCCCACCGGCGTGGTTCGGGAATGCCAGGTGATGCAGGTCTCAACACAGCCGCCAACCGCACGTCAGCTACCCACCTTCAGAGTTTTCAGGAACGTCCGTCAGTGTGCAGGAATGCACAGTAGCCGGGCACGCGCTCGCCGAGTTCACCGGAGGATCGAAGTCACCTCATCAAAACGAAGATTGACGGACTCTCCTTGAGGCCAGTCAGGATTGATGTTCGCGTGAGCCGCTTGGAGCGCGGCGGTAGTCTACGCACGACCACATCCGGAAATACATCTACAAGGTTATTCATTGGATGCAGATTAACTTTACCCTCTTCGATGTGCATTACTCCGTAGTCTACAGAACTGTCCCGGCTGTGAGCGATTGGGTTTACCAAGTGGCCACCAGATGTTCTTTCTTCGTCGCTCAATGCAGGGACCCAGCATCCGACCGAGCCTTGTATGCATGCAATACCGGGGGTTTCGTCACCCACCCCCTTCAACGTCTGCATCGAGATGGAGTGGGACCCATTTCCTCATATGAGGATAGATGCGTTCAGCGAAAAGTCTAGACTCGCCAATCGGATTGCAGATCGGCTGGGGAAGGAAAAGTATCCCTGTATACGCTAGCTCAGCCACTCACCTCTTACCGAGTCTGAACGGAGTCGCTCTTCAGCGCCGGGAGCAGGGGCATGACTTCCCCGAAAGCTGAAATCTCACTAGCTGCCTAGTCTAAATCGTTCTATCCAAGGCCATTGTGCACTGGTATGACCAGCCGACTTATTCTTGCACGCGACTGCGGCGGTAGAGCTAGTAAAATGGGACCCTCTGACAGTTCCGTCATCACGCACAACATGTTGCCTGGTGTGAGCGGGTACCACTTTCGCCTTCACCTGGGTGCCGGTGCTGGCGTAACCGACTGCTCTGTCATTAGTTGGAAACTTTCTTTTGTACAACCCTCCCGCTTCCTCATCCTACCATTGGTGAAGTCGTTTAGCTACTTCTTCCTCCTTTACTCGAACCAGGTACCAGAGCGATAGTACATACTACACCTGGTGCGACGTGAAACGCCACCAGATCACGTAAACTCACATCTCTACACTTCCTTTTAATTGGCTTCTTAATCGTACATCTTGTCTCACCTGGGCCTCTCTTTCTACCACTCCCATCTTTCCCACGCACTGAGCCTTACACCTCTTCACCACTTCTCATCATCCAAGACGTAGTGAAAGCACTCTTCCAAAGCCATGGACAGACCGCAAGTTTCGATACCACCCGTGAGTAGTACCATCAATATCGCATACAGCTCCAACATACTGACCCCAAACGCTAGGCTGCGAATATCCTTGGTGTAGGTTTCTCTGCTCCACCCACGTTTTTGACTTGAGTCATGATACTGACATACGATCTGGTTCTCTAGACGCTCGGCACTGGTGAGTACCTCCGAACGTTTCGTGGCTAAGGACTATGCTAACTTGAGTAAAGTGTATGCAACCCCACGTCAAGCCCTTGACCCCACGAAGCAAATGCTAACAAAGGTCCGAATCCAGCTGTTGGTGTATACAAATCATCCCACAGTAAGTGTCACACGCATAAGCATTGCACACGACAGTTCGCTGACTGCGTTGAAGAATATGGACCAACTGGCGGCGGAAGAGCACCGAAGGCCTTCCAGGCACCATGCTCATACTCTGGTCAATCTGTGCGACATCCCACATGAACGATCCCGGTTGGCTCAGCTAACCACAAGATGCAGGCGGCGTACCGTTCGGTGTATATGCGATTGTTCAGGTATGCCATCACCCACCTCACAGTCCGTCTCATCTTTTGCTTACGTGTGATTAGAACTTCAACTTCGCACTCAAATTCCAACCTCAAGCTTTCGCCAGTCTTACCCTGATCGCATGGGGCCAAACACTGTACTACCACAACAAATGGAGGGTCTGGACAGCCACTGTTGCGACCATCGCTCTTGCAGCTAGCTTCGGTATCATGGAACTCATCCTCATTCTTACACTGCGCGTAAGTCAACCCCGCAGATCTCCATTTGGTCGAGAGTGACTGACAGTATACCGTACAGGGCCCATACAGCCGCGGTGTCGAATGGCCCATGATGCTAATGGCCATCTCCGCCTCCGTAATCCAAGTCATCGGCCTAATCCCGCCATACTTCGAGCTTGCCAAGCGCAACGGCCGCGTCATCGGCATCGACTTCTGGTTCCTCACCATCGACTACCTCGGCGCCTTCTTCTCGCTCATGGCCGTCGTCGCGCAGCAATGGTTCGATGCTCTCGGCGCCAGTCTATACATTGCTTGCATGGTCCTCGAGACTGGCATCTTTGCAAGCCAAGCGGTGTGGCTATGGCGTGTCAGACATGTGCGCAAGGAAGCTAAGAAGGCGGGCAAGACGTACGACGAATATGTTGCTGAGAATAGCGGCAAGAAGTTGCCGAGGTGTGGGAGTGAGGAGACGTTTGTTGATGTTGAGACGGGGTGCGAGAAGAAGACGACGATTGGAGGTGGAGAGTATGATGCTGGTACGGCTGAGAAGGCGGTCGAGAAACCATCCACGACCCAAGAGGAACGCATCGATGCCACCGAGGCGACTGCGACACCCGCATCGACATCAACAGCCACATTGACGCCCATATTCACCTCGATGACAACAGCACCACCACCCGACACACTCCAGGCTCCCCCAACTGCCGTTCTGAAGAACGACACGTCCGGTTGAACACCTCTTTCCACATCTCCCTTTTCCTTTGGAACTTTTGCACGGCGTTGCACCTACCATTTTCCGACTTCTTCATGTCCTGTACGATACCTCACGATGGCGATCACGGCGTACCATCTTTCCTTTCCTTTCTTTATTTCCATAATCTGGCGACGACGGTTAAAAAGCTCTTCCTGCTCTTCCTCTGGTAGGAGGTCAAAAGCTCGCTTCCTTACAAAAAGTTGAAAACAACTTGGGTGGCTATCTGCTATGGATTTCTGGTGTTAAATGCGGACGGGGTTGGGTCAAACTGCTGACCAGTGTGCGTTGGCATGGCACGGCTTGTATGAGTAGGAGTTTAAAACTAATAATTTGGTTGCTCTGATAGTGCGGACCTTGGTTGAGATGCATTGAAGCCAAGGCTTACAATCGACACGTGATCTGACAATGCGCGATAGTCATACGGGCTAGTAGAAAAGTCTTTGCTGGTGCGGTTTTGGAGTGCCTGTTTATCTGACTACAGTTTACTACTCTCTTTACTACCTCTTCTCCCCCCATCAAATAATAGCAAGGGCGATGATCAACGAAACTTATTACTCATCATCCATCTGAGCCTTGCCTCGCTGTTCCTTATTCTCAGGACCAGGTCGCTTAGTGGACACGGTGCCCTTGAGCTTCGCAGTCTCAGCAACACCCTCACCCTTCTTACTCATCTCGCCCTGCTTGGAAATCTGCGAGCTGTGGTGAGTGTCACCATTAGACAAACCCTCTTGTTTTCCGGACATGTAGTTGAAGCTCCTAGGCTTTCCGCGCGGGTCGGCCTGTGGTGTTACTTAGCAATCAAGAAGTGGAGAAAAAAGGTCACATCTTGTACGAACCGGGTCGGCGACATGTGAAGGTGCAGCCCCGTGACCCATAGCCTTCGGGCCCAACTCTTCATTGGGATCCGGCCTGCCGGCACCGGGTGCGCTGGGATCGCCTTTCATAGTGATCTTGTGGCTGCGCATGTGTTCCTCGTTCTCGCCGGCCATCTTCCCTGGCATGGTTGGATGCGGCTGGAGATTGGCCGCGAGGTTCTGCTTTGACGAGGGACGCAGATCTGAATTTATAGCGAAATAGAGACCGCCGGTGAAGGCCATGGCTACACCTGCGAACTTACTAGAGGATACACGTTACAGGAGGATCGGGATGAGAGTTGTGATGGCATCAAAACGTACAATGTGAAATCGCTGTTCTGCACTTTGGGGATGATGGGCTCGCTGGCATACTGCCTGCTCTGGGCGCCATTCCGCAGCGGATAAGGCCTAGCGCTACGAGAGCATTTCGAGCCCTGTAGAGTAGTGCCTGTAGCAGAGGCGACTCGCGGCTTTGTAAAGCGAAGTAGCGGCATATTGAATCACATAGATGTAGATACTAGGTGCAATGGGTGTGGAGGGATGATTGGTAGTCATCTCCATCTCCCATGATATTTAGACATTCGGTGCTAGGCCAACATCAGGTTCCAAGGTTATCGTCAAAGCGCGCGAGATGATGCGTCATCGATTCAGCGGAGCCATCTCCGGGGTATGAGTGTCGATTTGATGAGTTGGAAAAAGCAGTACGTGCGCCGTGGACTGCATGAGCACGCGTTTCATCAGAGTTGCATGGAAGGATGACGTCTTTGCGGGGTGCGGGCGCGTGTCTGGGGAATTGGAGACTGCGGTTGCGGCTAGCGTGGTGAATACGTCATGGTTCGTTCGCGATGACCCATTAGCGACGAGCTGATTACAACTACTCAAGGTAGATACTATATACACATGGAACGGCTATCCCAGCTGTCAGAACTCACACGTTCAAGTGACATGTGCTGACTAAAGGTAAGGTGTCCAATGAGCGATCTAGGCAGTGAATCACATGAGCGAGCTAAGCAGCTCTGCCACGCGACGCATACGAACACCCTTCATCGACGACAATAAACCATGCACTCGTCTCAAACGTCTCAATATGACGACAGGCCTTTTGATGGCTGCGCATCGAATGCAGGCGGACCTAGAACCATTGCAACAGCGGCTCATTCGTGCGACGCTCAACACACAACCTCACGCCAACAACACGACCACGGTTCTCGTCCACAGCGCGATAATCCCCCAACACTTGCGGAATACCAAGCCTTAACGTGTATCTTCATTCCATATGTTGTAGAGACACTCTTTTGTGCGAAGGTCCCTACGGCTTCTGATCAGCGTCCGATATGAACACAGTAATATCCAACTTCCGCTTGCCGTGGACCGCTATACGAACACCAGGAAGCTAACGGCTGACGCCATGCTAATAGCCCACCAAATACGTCCACCAACCAGATCTTGAAGGCTACGCGAGGCGCTGGGTACTGGCGAGCCTGGCGACGACTCTACCGAGCATATATCCCCGTCAGGATTGGTACTGGCGCTAGCACTTGTATTGAAGAGCAGCTCAACCCATTGGATATCGAACCAGGCCTCTTGCCCGGTCCCCATACGCCCTGAGAAGGTGCCTCCGTTACTCCAAAGGCTCAAGATGATCATGCTCTCTGCATCCGGTACGTTGACTTCCGTGTCGGCCGATTGCGCACCGTTCATGTACCATGCGCTTTTCCCAGGTACCCAGTCCAGTCTGTAGTTGTTCCAGTCCGAAGTGGGTTGGTAGTCCTCCATTGACACATTGAAGGTTGCACCATCAATGGGTGCATCAGTGTCGGGGTCAGTGGTGGGCTGGTTAGAGTAGTGAACTTCGTCAGCCTTGGCCCCAGTCGGTATCTCTATGTCAGACTCATTGGTGTCATCGTGGTACGTGAAGAAAGCCGCAACTGCGCCGCTGGCTCCGTTGATGCGTGCGGACATGCGGATAGAGGCGTAGGTGACATTGTATTCCGCAAAGTCTAGTTCAGCGGCCACCTGGCTTCCATCCGAGAGTCTTGTCGTGTGCAAGGTAAGATAGGTGGAATCCTGCGACGCATCGCTATTCTTGCCTATGAGTGGTTAGATTTCGGTAGATGCAACGACAGCTCCAGCTTACTTATCGATACACGAGATGGTTTATAGTACATGTCAACCGTATCATCCCTTGGCGACGGTCTATACCAGTCTCGCGCATTCCAACCCGAAACCCAGGGAGCAGCTTCGATGATCTTAGACTGGCCATTGTCCGACCTGGTGACCGTGTGACCCTCTCCGTAAGACGAGGCAGAAGCCGCATCGCCATCGATGTCATCATGAAGCTGCCTAAAGTCGTAGAAGCGATGGAAGTCGTACGTTGATGCCGTCGAGCCATTGGTAGAGAACCGAGTACATTCTGCAGCGACCTGGGCGAAGAGAGAAGACGCAGCGAAAATCAAAAGAGCTGAGCTGTAACACATAACAAACATCGAAGGTAAGCGCTTGGGATCACAGTAGAGTAGATCTGCAGTCGTCACGACATGGTAGTCGGACCAGCTTACACTACATACGTGCAGAGGTTGCCCTTTCGTAATCTTGCGGTGTGGATGTCACCTGGATAGGCGCGGGAGCGAGACATTGACAGTAAAGGCGTTTAATCTTTCAAATTCGACTTCTGGCATTCCCTCTAGGGAGCTTCGACGTCAGTGTGCGGTATTGCAGGGCAGTATTGTTGTTCAGGGCCGGCGCATGATAAGACGAGAAGATACGAATGAGGCGTGCAGAGTTTTGTGGCTGGGTCGTGGCGCCCACTTGTCGAGTTCTCATGCGGGTACTAGCCACCTTGTCGCTAGGTACCGTTCTTGAAACATAATATTACGTTTCTGCTGTTAAACATCGCTGCTAGTCGCGAAGGCCAGACGCGTCGATGGGACGCGTCTAACCTTCGAAGGCTTCGCGACGCGTCTGGAAATGAAAAAGCCAGCTAGCACTCATTCGAGCTAGCGCAAACACCGACCACCGGCCATTCTTCGTGCAGTCGTTCACGTCATCATCATCACCACCGCTCGAACGCCAGAAGGCAAAACTTTGTTGTACAATATATCGCGAGATGAGACGCTCGCACTTTCTTAGCGAAGTGATTGGCTCGCTTCTCGGCGCTCTATTACAACCGTTTATCATCGGTCTCGCGCGTTGATGTGCCGACGAATAACCCCGCCACTACTCCAACAAAGATGTGTCTCGGCAGTCATTCTGAGTCCGAAGGGCTGAAGCTTACTTGCAGTCACAATATCAAGCGGCGGCCTTACCTGTCGCACGTCCCAGCTACTACAACTGCAAGATATGCGCATTTTGTCCGTTGTCAGACACACCACCCATCCTGGAATTTGCGCATCACGGGGCTCAAGGCAGCATTGTAGGCATCAACAGCCAGTGTTTCTGTAAACGGATCGGATGTTTCTTACGCGTCCGACCGGTTCGCCGGGCCTAGTCCCCACTTCCCGGTAGATACAAAGCTGTCTAGAAATGGTATTATTCCCCGCGTCGTCTACGTATGTTGGTACCTTATATATATCGTGCATGTCTTTGCGATCTCACGATAGCGCGACAGATAACCCCAACAAACGGAAACATGGCTTCAGAACACCAGGCACCACAGACCTTCACCTTTCACCATGCCGAACTAGGTCCCATGACCGGCATCGTTACGCCCGACAACGTTGTTCAGTTTCGCGCCATACCATACGCTACCATCCCCGCTCGCTTCAAGCAGTCTGTTCTCTCGGATACGCTCGCGGGCAAGAAAGACTTCACGGGACATGGGTATAGTTTGCCTAAATGCTTCCCTGCGAAGAAAAGCTAATGCCCTCAGCTATGCATGCCCTCAGGTCTTCAATATTGACGCGGTTGGCGGCGGTAACTTCCCGGGCGAAGAGTTTCCACACCCAACGGACGAGTTGAAATGTGCTATCCTTCAGGTGAATGTACCGCTTTCGTGCCTTAAGCAGCAGCCACTCTCTTCAAAACTACCTGTATCGGTCTACATCCATGGGGGAGGCTTCGTGCTCGGAAAGATTGACGAGCAACACACCACATCTCTAATGGTCGAGCAATCAATCCTCGATGGCCAACCTATCATCTCCGCGAGCATACAATATCGTTTGGGGGCGCTTGGCTATCTACATACTCCGGAGGCTGGAAATGCAAATCTCGCACTAAACGATCAACGGAATGCGCTTCTCTGGATCCAAAAGTTCATCGAGGGCTTTGGTGGAGACAAGAAGAAGGTTACTGCGTTTGGAGAGTCCGCTGGCTCTATGTCAATTTGCGCTCACATGCTACGCCAACCTCCGTCTTCGGGTCCGCTGTTCCAGAGAGCGATTCTCATGTCTGGCATTATTGGGCCAACGACAGCACCGCTATCACCCGAAAGCGCAAGCGAGACATACAACAGCTTCTTGAAAAGAGTTGGGATTGAAGAAGAAGGCGAGGCAGCTTTGGAGAAATTACGTCAAGTGGACGTACAAAAGATTGTCGAAGAATCCGCCGAGCATCGAGCAGCTGGTAATATGTGGCTTTCGGTTCAAGAGTCAGAATGGTTTGGTGATGAAGCGGGCTCTGTGACATGGGACCGCTTTCCTGAGTTGCTTGGCAAATGCGAGTGGGTCAACGAGATCATTCTGGGAACTACAGGCTTTGAGGTGAGTCGATGCTTCTCAATCATACGTCCAAACCGAGAATCTTACTCAGACATACAGGGCGTCACGTTGATGTCAGCAGTTACTGCTGTCAGCCCGGACGCTTTCCTCAAGGGCATCGCGAAGCAGTTAGGCGAGGAAAGCGCTGGCCTCGTTGAACGAGCTTATGGCATCTCGCCGGGAATGGACAAGAATGTGTTCATAACTGCAGGCGCACGTTGGGTAGGCGACGTCGTTTTTGATGGTGAGACATTCCGCATTATGTTGTGTGCATAGCTGATAGTTGTAGCGCCGACTCACTACTTAGCTCAGTATCTCACCCAGCATACAAATAAGAAGGTCTATCGGTACGTATTCGACGTCCGCAATCCTTTCGCTACCAGTCCCTTCTGGCAGCAAGCGCATCACTGGGTCGACGTGTACTACGTGTTCAAGACGTACCAATTCCGCTACCCGTCACAAAGACTCAAGGACATCTCTACCCAACACGCACGAACTTGGAACAGATTCGCGAATGGAGAACCACCGTGGAAAGAATACAAATATACCGGCAAAGGCGACGAAGTGGTGATGGTGGCAGACGAGAGGGATGGCTGGGTGCAAAGGACGGTTGAAGAACACGAAAAGGTGGTGGACAACAGCTGGCGGAGGTGTGAAGCGTTGGTTGCGAGCTGGGACAGCATGCGCGGGAAGCATTTCTCGCCATTCCAGATCGAGCCAATGAAGGAGAACAAGACGGCCTAGATTAGAGGATAAGGACACCTCATACCAGAAAAAAACCGAACAGGCCTAGAGCCTACATAGACGCTAGGTCACCTATCTTGTAGGTTTTTATGTTGATGTAGGCTGCAGACCCGTTCAGTCTTTTTCTTGATTGACGTGAGGATATCATCCGGTGCTTCTCCATCATTTTGAGTCATATCGCGCTAGGCTGGATTACACTTAGCGGCTTCTTCTTGCGGCGGAAGACCCTCCGAGTCATCTCTTCTATCATCTTTCCAAGTGTACAAGTATCCGCAAGACTGTCCATGCGTCTCATCAAACCTTGCACACCTCAAGATGACTTCTCAACAGTCCTCAACACCGTCTTCGCGGTTCGCCCTCGTCACACCTCGACTCATCATCGTGCCTACGCCATTGGCTATCTCGATACCGTCTTATGTCACTCTTTTCGCGAACCTCCTCGCAGATACGTCATTCTGCGGGATGGGCTTCGGCGACAAGTTTCCCGTAGTGAAGCGCACGCAAGAAGAAATGCATAATTCGATCGCTACACGAGACATTGCGCAGTGCTGGGAGAAGAGAGGATTGGGCACTTTTGCAGTTGGCTGGCGACTGAAAGATCAAGTCAACGATGATATGGGTCGGTCTTTGAAAAATGCGAGCGAAAAAGTCCGGATCATCGATGGGGATGAGATGGATAACGTGTGCGAAATACTCGGCGCCATCGAATGGCTAGGCTATGCAGGCGTCCGGGATGCAATCACAACCTCTCTTCCCCTACGCGACGATTCGGACGATTCACTACCACCGTGGGAAGAGATGGTTGAAATGCTCTACGGTGTTGCGCCGGCATACTGGGGTCAGGGTGTAGCTCGCGAGGCCGCGGAAGCAGTCATGCAGTGGGCGGCGGCGCAGAAGGGTGTAAGGAGGTTCATCGCTGAGACGGAAAAGCCCAATGCGAGAAGTGGAAGAGTGTTGGAGAAGATGGGGTTTAGGAAGAGTGGTACTAATTATTGGAAAAATGAAGATGAGTGGGAGTGGGAGAGGGACGCTAAGAGCCTTGAGTAGGCAGGTTTGTGTTATGTAGGCGCATTCTGGGATGGTAACGAGCTTAGTGCAGCAATTTTGCATCCATTAAGTCCTTTTTGGTGTCTTTAGCTACTGATGAGATGTTGTAAGTATTTAGGCCAGTCCGCTGTGACTTCCAAGGTTGCTCTTAGCAATGCCTTTCTACCCTTTCTCATGCAAAAAGGATGGAAAAATGCTGAGCTCTCGTCGCGCTCCTGTCCGCTTGAGGGAGGCCTTAGCTTTCTTCGCCTTGGGCCACTCATCCACCTCTTTCTCATCTGCCTCATCTAGAGTGACGACTGTTTCTGAAGGCCGGCCGTCGTGGAGATTGGTGACAATCACCTGAACTCGCCGCTCTTGCTGAACCAAAAAGCCCATCATCAACCACTTCCCTAAACTGAAAATCGCGTCCAATCCACACCGAGGATGACTAGTTATAAGATATCTGTCTACGCAGTTAATGCGGACCCGGCACAAGCGCTCACAATTGAGCAGAGGTCGGAGTGCGAATAGGTCTATCAGCGTATCTACAGACCGTAGAGTACGCAGGCCTGTTCGGAAATTAATGCTAAACAGCTCTCGGGTAGGCACAGTCAATTGAATCTCTCGGAGGAAGACGCAGGCAACTGCAAGCTCTACCATGGGGCTTTTTGGAACGAATGACGCCTGAGAGAGGTGAGACACGTCTCCAAGACGAATGACTAGGTTCTTTACCGCCAGCAAACCATCACCATGAGGGATTGCGGTCAATTCGTTGTGAACCCACGAGCCACCGTCGTAGTTTTCGTCACCCGCCTCAAAGTTGAGAAAGATCCACTGCGTGCGCTCAAGCATGTAGACAACGACCTCGCCCTGCAACTGTCCGCATGTGGAGGCTAAAGCAGGGAGCGAACGTGACCAATAGTTGCAATGTCGCGGGTTTGGGAACAAAGTCCTCTCGCTCTTGTTGCAAAGCTTCAAAGAGGTTGGGTAGTGCCATACACAACAATTCCATTCTTGAGAAATATCCCAATCATCCGTGTGAGGGTTGTGCGAATCTGGCCATACAGTTCCATGTTCGAGAAGATAGTAATGGTAAACTATCTTTCGAAGTTCAGCCGGAAGTTGTAAGAAGTGAGGGAAGTATGGTGGCGGCTCATAGGATAGATATCCCGTTACTGCTGCAGCGACGTCCTTAAAAGCCGTCCACTCGATTCGCTCAATGCCGTTCTCATAGTGGAGCCACTCGACGACAGGACCTGAGAACTCCCGAAAAGCAGCCACCTTCTCGTCTGGCCATATATCGAAATCGTTGGTGAAAGCCAAATACTCCGTTGCGACCTCTGCGAGATCACAGAATGCCAGCTGCTCGATCGGTACCAGGCCATTCGTAGTTTGGTGCATATATGTTACCGCGGTCGGGACGTCGCGCGATACAAGGATATTGGTCGTATCTTTGCCCACATAACAGCAACCGTACCAGCAATGATACTGATGCTCGTGAAAATACGGAACCCTGAATGCGTCATACCAGCCTGCCATGTCGAAAAAGACAGCATCGCAAATCGACACATGGCCCTCGTGTTTGTAAAGTAGCTTCAGAGTCTTCAAAACATACAGATGACAGTCCGGTACGAAAGCCTCGAAACTAAATTTGCGGTCGTCTTCGAGGTATGCAACGCACGCTGCCGATATCCTGGTGAACTCTTCCTCTGCAGAGATTTCCGTGTATTGGGTGAAAGCCTCAAAGGCTGTGGCTTCGTCGACAAGGTGCGCGTTCTCGCCGGGCATGTTGACCTGAAGTGCTTGCTTAGTTAAAGCCTCGAGCGTTCTAATCCTCGAGACATACTGGTACTATGGAACCGATGTGATTCGACATTTTGGTGCGTCAAGATCAAGTTCTGTGAGAGTTGGCAGGGACCAATAGGTTGACACACTGCGGCGGTAAGCGTGAACAATGCAGTTAACTTACATGCGCTTAAAAGTATACTTACAGAGACCGTGCGCCAACAGCTTTAGTCTAGGCATCAGGGTGTGGCAGTAGCTCAAGTGAATTTACCTAGGTAAAGGACGTCTGCGGAGATGAAGGTATCACGTGACGTAGGTATGTAATCCTGGCATCTAAGCATGGCGCCAGGCAACCCGCGCGGGGGAATCAAGGCCTCCATGCTACCATCAGTCACCGACTACTCGAAAGTACGAGAGAGGTAGACACTTCGCAACGCGACAATGACTGCGGCCAACCTCATCCCCGAAGTCGCCCGTCATCAAGTAGCATCTTTTCATGAGCCCAAGTTCACCAAATTCCTCCTCCTACCCGCGGAGCTACGTCTCAAGATCTTCGCAGCCTACTTGCACCTAGAGACAGCGCACAATGACTCCACGCTGGCGGATCATGGCCACCTCAGATACCGCAAGCCTTGTTGCGACGTCTTCGAGGCCTATTTGGAGAATGCGCGCAACACCTCGAGTCTAGCAAAGCATCTCCATGTCGACAATTACAACAATCCGTGTTGCACCTGGCGCTGGCCAGAAGACCTCATCATCTGCGATCGAAATGCCGGCGACGAGCTGACGAATGCGACAACCGCGCCTTGGCTTCCTGCTCTCGCCTTTGCGAACAAGCAGCTCCTGAGCGAAGTCACCCTCTTCATGCTCTCAACAACCGGATGGTTCGACTTCAAATACGATGCAAAGAAGCCCTTCAAAATCGCCCGCTGGTTCGCAGACTACCTTTCCACGTTCCCCGCAGTCATCATCGATGGCGTCGCTACCACCCAGGGATTCGCAGCCATCAAGCGCATCAATTTCCCCCACGTAAAGTACAAAGCGCATATCATCCGATTCGAACATAGCATCGACGAGAACCTCGACATCAGCCTAATGCTCAAGTGCACCCAGCTCGACACCATCGCCATGTCATTCCACTGGATCCAGCTCGTCGATAGAGCGTACACACAATACCAGCGACCTCGCGCTCTAGAAGATTTTCTGGATGCCTTCGGATTCAGACCGATGCTTGAACATGGCGGGGTCAAAAGAGTGTATCTTGAAGGTGTGAATCATCTTCAGGGAGGGGAGCGGCGGTTGGCTTGTCTGTATAAGTTTGGCGAGTGGCTTGTCAAGGGGTATAGGAAGCGGGGGAGGGAGGTGGATGTCCATGTCAGTGAGCGACGCCAGCGGTTTAATGGGAGGACAGTGGGGCCGAAGCTTGTTGTGGAGGACAGTGAGGAGGAAGAGGAGGCACCTAAGGTCAACTGGGAGTCTGGGAAGCGCAGAAGTGGGAGAGTCGGTTGAGCATCTCTTGCTTAGACTGCTGGTTGACCTATCGCAGGGTTGGAACCAAATGGATCGGTTGGATCTTCCAGCCCAGTGCAATGCAATCTCTAGCGTGTACGAGGAATAGGTGAGGCTGAACGTCGCAGCAGTTGCGACCAACGGTCTGGACGCATGATAGGCAATAGACAAAGAAAGACCAACATTGCGGGTCATTCTTCGCCGTCCAAGTGAAGTATGCTCCATGGTATTGTAGTGATGGAGTAGCCCAAGCGGTTGAACGAAGCCTCTGCGCGGCGTAACCGACTTGCGATTGGCAGTGGACGACCAACACCGGGGTCGTATCGCGACGAGACAGGATCAAATGATAGCTCATCGACCCAGGCACGGAATTCTGCTCGTCGCCATCGTAGTTCGTCGTCCGCAAATCGATGCGACCTGATCCAGCGATGTTCTCGTCTTCTTTTCGTGTTCTCGTCGTGCGCAAACGCTTCAAACTCGCGACCGGCCGGCTATCCACCACCCCTGACCCAACCTGATTCGACCGCCATTTTCGCCGTGGTACGAGTCTCCGCAAAACCAGCACAACAGCCATTCACACGCGTCACTATGGTAAAATCCACCCGCACGCACACCGCAGGCCGAACGCTATGATCCCACACCGAACACCCACCCTCAGAAATTTCACTCCCAGCCCC